GAGGGGGTCTTACACTGCTGCAGGACTTCCAGGCTGTCCCCTTCTTTGTCCTCCTTCACAGATTTACCCAGCACCACCGACTCTTTGTTTTCTGTTACAAAAAGAGGACGGAGCCAAACTACACATTCAGCGAAACGTTTAAACTTAAAGTTAATGGTGTGGACAGATTATTAATAATAAGTTGTGTTCCTCTCACCTTTCTTTTCCTCCCTGGATTTCCGCTCTGCCAAGTCTGCCAGGAAGTGCAGAGGCGACTGGGACTCTGGCGGGGTGATGGGAGCATTTGCACCATCGTTACCTGGACTGGTTCCTCCACCACCTCCTCCGTTCGTTTCTGACTTAACTCCTCCGAGGTCAGAGGTCTGCAGAGAGCCTGGCTCAGCTTTCACCAGGGACAGCTTGTTGCTGTGATTCAGAACATTCTGCAGAACCTGGACAGAAGGAACAGTTAGATGAACTCAACTGCATGAAATCACAAAGCCTTCATGTCAGAGGAAGAATAAACTTTATTTAAACAGTGACCAAGCAAAATGCCTGTCCACAGTATTGATATTCCCTAGGTAACAGGTTAATAGATAGCTATGATCACCACACACAGCTGTTGTATTATTGCACAGCTGAGCTTGACCACAAACCTGTTAGAGAACGACTGTTAAGCCTACTTAAAGTCCACCATTCATTAGATAGAAAAGCCCAGATAATAGCACCTGTTTTTGGTTCACTTACTACTGAACCAGTTTATGATTAACTATTAATTAGTGCAGTAACTGATGGACCGATGATGCCATTTCTGTATGTAAACGCTATTAACCATGACTCAGTGAGGCTGGTGTAGGCTGCAGGTCCTCTGTGTCTCTCAGCAGTGGATCACAGCGACATGTTGATCTAGTCTGTGCCACACAGGTAGCATCATAACAATGTCATAAAAGACTGCCCCCACCCTACCTATCACTTTAGACGGTCAGTGCTTACAGCTGTGAACGGCCGATCGATATCTATCATCAATCGTTTTGCTTTACGAGTCATGCCCAGCGCTGAAAGCTATTCTGCAGTTTTCTCTTGATCCCATTTTATCTTTTCTTTTCTTTTCTTTGCAATCAAATGTGGTTTACTGGTGACAGCACTCATTTCCCAGTGGTCCCACTTAACATATCTGTCTTATGAGCTGTCATTCCAGCGCATGTCTTTATCCTGTCTTCCTTCTCTCACCCCAACCA